AGAGAATAGTGCAACAATGAATGAGTGGAAGCCCAAAATCTCTGTAAATGTTTATGAAAATTAATAAAATATAATTATAGAAAATGGAATTTTAAATCGGGAGCACCATAATAATTTTGTGTTGCTAACTCAAAGGCCATAGTCCTCTTGTGGTTCAAATCAATCGGCTGCTCCATGGGAGGAAAATGATGGGTAGTTCCTTCTCATGCAACTTACAGATTCAGAAACCTGATGGTAGGTCAATTATGACTTGGGCATGACATGATGGCAATGAGTTGCTGGGTTATTTTTTTTTGCCTTCCTGACCTTAGAAGGAAAATTGTAATTGGTAATGCTAAGAAAAATGAGAGGTGGCAAGCACTGGGGGAGTAAAGGACAATGTCACTATGTCAGAGGACCAAAGAAAGCCAAAAGGCCCAGTGAGATGAGACTCCATACATTTGTTGTAAGATGCCAATGAGCCACCTCCTATCAATGCTATGAACGAAAGCGGAAGTCTTGCCCTATTCAGCACCATCCTCACAATCTCTGATAAGCTCAAGTGCAGAGGACAGCAAAGGGCAGTTGTAAGAAAGAACCAGAGAAAGTGAAAAAGATACTATCTCACATAATAAGTGGAATCTGGTAGGTAATATAGTACAAAATACCTAAATGTTTGAGCTAGAAAACTGAGTATTTGTGACAGCGAGATTAACTATACAAATTGCAGTGCTGCTAAATGAAGAGTTAGTAGTAAATTTTAGACTTTTACTATGCTATCTTATCTTCTCGAAGGTTGTAAACATCAAGTTTTCCAAACTTTTTATTAGTATAATACACATAGGAATTTACTACTAAGTAAAAAACAAAATAAAACCAACTATCAAAATGGCAATGACAACATTCTAGCTACAATGACTGAAATAACTTTTACTTATTTGCCAAAACAGTTCTATCTTTAAATTCTGACAGTAATACTTATGTTAGATTCAAAAGCAACATCTAAATTGTGACCAGCTACTTAAACAAATAAAAACACAGTCAAGGAAGAATTCAAGATACTAAAGAGCTGAACAGAAGATTCCAAAAGGCTGCTCGGAATGACAAAGCAAAATACTACAATGAAATGTGCGAGGAACTA